TGACATGAAATTAGAACAGTTTTAATTTTCAGGAAGTATTTTTAGAAATTTTTAGAAATGAGTTTTTACACAATTAGTTTGATAAAAGAATGATAAAAAAATAAATCTGTTTTAAATTCAAATTCTTCTAGTTAAAATTTCATAAACTATTCCTATAAGAGCATTATTTTTTCATTTGATTGTATGATAAAGATATAGCATGTAAATTTAATTTTCAAATAAAAAATTGTATTTCAAGCTAAATTTAAATTGAACATACTAATATAATTATCTTATGACGATTGATTCCAATTTAATATTTGCGAAATGAATAATAATTGAATATAAGAGAATATCATGATATCAATTTTGCATATTGTTATAAGAATATTTGTGATGATATATTTTTCATTAAATAATTATCCATATATTTATAATATTAATTATATCATATAAAATTTTTTAATAGAAAAAAAATTTAAACTTAGAACGATTTTATCCAAAGAAAAAACTTTAAATTGAGTAAAAATTCATATGGCATTGTACTATTATATAACTTATTTATATATAAAAATGGAAAACCATATAAATAATTTTTGAATTATTAAATTCTAATAATTTGAATTCTAAAATTTTTACATTCTGCAAAATTTATAAAAATGTAAATGTAAATTTATATTTCAAATTAATGTTCATAGAAATAAATAATTAATATACTATGTATAACTTTAATTATATAATTATCGCATATATAATCTTATTAATCTTATTAATTACTTATATATATATATAAAATTATATTAATTTTTAAAAATTAAATTAAATTTATATTTTTATATTTCGCTAGTAAATCTGTATTTATTCTGATATATAGGAACTTAACTTACTTATACTGCCAGCTATGATGTGACAGGGAATTTGATAGAAGTTTTAATATTTTCGTAACTATTAAATGTATTGTTTAAGACAACTGAATTAAGTAAAAACTTTTAAAGTTAAATTATGTATATATATATATAAATATTATGTGTAATTTTTTTTTATGAACATAATTATTTATCGTATAAATATTATATACA